TAACCTCTGGCCTCTACATACACATGCACATACTTACATGTACAAACAAGTGCACCCACATACATGGAACACACATACACATCACACATGCATACATGCACAAAAAAAGTTTTTAAATTTTGAAGAAAAATATAATTGAATATAAAATTTCAGAGTCCTTCCTTGCTCTCTCCCTCTCTCTCCATTCCCCTTTTCTTTCTTTTAGTCTTTCAACAGGGTCTTGCTATGCAGCCCAAGGCAGCTTCAAACTTGAGATCCTCCTGTCTAAACCCTCTGAGTACTCATATATCTGCCATCACACCCAGTTTAGTTATTTTTCAGTAATGAAATAGTAAAAGTGGGTCTAGAGAGGTGGCTCAGTGGTTAAGAGTCACTGGTTGTTCTTGTAGAGGACCTGAGTTTAGTTCTCAGGACCCACATGGTTGGCTAACAACCATCCATAGCTCCAATTCCAGGGGATCCGATGCCTTCTTCTGGCCTCTGCAATCACTGCACACATGTGGTGTACTTTACATGGAGGTAAAACAATCATACACATAAAATACAAGCAAATAAATAAAGAAGCTCTAGGTTTGGTGGGAGACCCTGTCTCCAAAATTAAGGTAGAAGGCCAGAAAGATGGCTCAGCAGGTAAAGGTATTTGCTGCCAAGCCTGATGGCCTGAGTCTGATCTTCATGATTTACATAGTAGAAGGAGACAACCAACTTCTGAAAGCTGTCCTCTGACTTCTATATGTATGCTGTGCCACACACATGCATACACACATGTATACACACACTAAATAAATATAAAAAATTTTAAAATAGCCGAGTATGGTGGTGCACGCCTTTAGTCCCAGCACTTGAGATGCAGAGGCAGGTGGATCTCTGTGAGTTCAAGGCTAGCCTGGTCTACATATCAAGTTTCAGGCCAGCTGGGGCTACAGGGAAACCCTGTCTCAAAAAGACAAAAAAAATTTTTTTTTTAAAGGTGAAAAGTGGGGCTGAGAGATGGCTCAGTAGTTAAGAACATTGACTGTTTCTGCAGAAGACCCAGGTTCGAATCCGAGCACCCACATGGCAGCTAAAAACTGTCCATAACTCCAGTTCCAGGGGATATGACAGCCTCTTCTGTTCTCAGCAGGCATTGCACGACATGGGTGCACTTACCTACATGCAGGCAATATACGCATACATATAAAATTAAAATAATAAATAAATTTTTTTAAAAGGTGAAAAGTGATAGAGAAAAGATACTGACATCAAACTCTGGCCTCTATGTACACCAGGCAAACATATTTGCACAAATACACACAAACATGTATACACACATATACCACACACATATACACAGATGTTAAAACTGAATTCCCAATGTGATAGTATTAAGAGGTAGGGTTGGGCTGGAGAGATAGTTTAGAGGTTAAGAGTACACATTGCTCTTGCAGAGGACCCAAGTTCAGCTCTCAGCATCCAATCAGGCAGCTTGTAATGCCAGTACGTGGTGATCGACAGCCCTTCTAAACTCTGGACTCTAGCCATTTGCATTCACACATGTACACACACATAATAAAAATTAAAACTTTTGGGAGGGTCTTTTTGAGACAGGGTCTCCCTATAGCCCCAGCTGTCCTGGAACTCCCTATGTAGACCAGGCTGGCCTCGAACTCACAGAGATCCACCTGCCTCTGCCTCCCAAGTGCTGGGATTAAATGAATGCACCACCATGCCCAGCAAAAGTAAAATTTTTAAAAGAGGTAGGGTCAGGCTGGAGAGTTGGCTTAGCAGTTAAGAGCACTGACTGCTCTTACAGAGGACCTGGGTTCGATTTCCAGCACCCACATGGCAGCTAACAACCATCCAAACTCCAGTTCCAGGGAATCCAATACCCTCTTTTGACCTCTGTGGGCACTGCACGACACTGGTGCACTTACACACATGCAGACAATATACTCACATACATAAAATAAAAAATTAGGTGGTGAGGGCTAGAGAGATGGCTCAGCAGTTAAGAACACTGGTTGTTTTTGCAGAAGACCCAGGTTTGAATCCCAGCACCTACATGGCAGCTAACAACTGTCTGTAACTCCAGTTCCAGGGGATCTGACAGCCTCGTCTGTCTTCCATTGGCATTGCATGACACGGGTGCACTTACCTACACGCAGGCAATAACATATACACATAAAATAAAAATAATAAGATTTTTTAAATTATTTATTTAATAACCACATACTTAGAAGAAAAATTTCATTACAACAACATTGACATATTCAATAAAAATTTTCTGAGCTAAGATGCATCTCTTTCAAAATTGGCTGTAAATTTTTAGGTTTACAGTTGAATTATTATAGTTTATACAATGTTGTACTCAGTATAAACCCTATAAAATTAAATGAGGTTTCAACCTTTAAAAAAAGATCTCCATTTCATTATTAAAATACACAGTTTCATACATAAAAATTCATTTTTAATGCAATTGCCATTAAGATGTGTGCACATGCGTTTCTAGTCTCTATGTATCTGATTATTACTAGTCACAGTTGGTTACTTTCTGAGCTCCTTGGCATCTGAACATGGATATAAAGTCATCAGGTACATTTCAATGGTAATATTTCAAAGGTAATGTCTTTTACATCTACTAATTATTATAGAACAAGTTTTTATGCTTTGAAGAATTATTATTTTTTAATCATTTTTTAAAAATTTTTAATAACTACATGATTAGACGAAGCATTTCACTACAGCTTTAACATATTTAGTAAATAAAATATTTTTTAAAAATTAGGTGATAATCCCAGCACTTGGGAGGCAGAGGCAGGTGGATCACTGTGAGTTCAAGGCCAGCCTGGTCTACATAGTGAGTTCCGAGCCAGCTGGGGCTACAGGGAGACCATCTCAAAAAGACAATAAATGAATGAATAAATAAAATATAAAAAAAATAAATAAAAGAGGTAGGGTCTCTCTGGGAAGTGACTAGATCCTGTGGAGTATAACCCTCATGAAGATTATCAATCCTCTTATAAGAAACCTCAGAGAGCTCCCTTTTCCCTCCTGTCATGTGAGGACAGAGAGAGAAGATGGCCATCTATGAACCAGGCAGTGGACCTCTAACTAGATACCAAATCTGCTAGTATCTTCATGTTAAGACTTCTCAGCTTCCAGAACAGTGAGAAATAAATTTCTATTGTCTATAAACCATGGTGCTTTGTTATAACATGCCAAATGTATTAAGATACATGTTCTTAGGAGGTAACCCTTGTCTCTAGCCCCTCCACCAAAAGGAGGACAAAGGCTGGAGAGAAAGCTCAGTTAATAAAGTGTATTCCTGGGAAGCATGAGGATCTGAGCTCAATCCTCAGAATCCATGTAAATCTTGGTGTGTAGGAGCATACTTTTTTTTTTTGGTCTTTTTGAGACAGGGTCTCCCTGTAGCTCCAGCTGCCTGGAACTCACTCTGTAGACCAGGCTGGCCTCAAACTCAGAGGATCCGCCTGCCTGCCTCTGCCTCCCAAGTGCTGGGATTAAAGGCATGCACCACCACACCCAGCGTAGGAGCATACTTTTAATCCATGCACTGGGGAGGCAGAGACAGATGGCTCTCTCAGGCTCACTGGCCAGCCAGCTAGTCTATTGACAAACTCTAAGCCAAAGAGAGATACGGTCTCAAAAAGCAAGGTGAATAGCACCTGTACTGGATAGCATCTGTTGTCAACTTGACACACCTGGAGGAATTTTTTCCATTGGATTTGTCTATACCCATGTCTGTGAGGCATTTTCTTGATTGCTGAGTGATGTGGGAGGGCCCAGCCCACTGTGGATGGGGCTACCCTTGAGCAGGTGGTCCTGTGTTGGATAAGAACAGGCTGAGCACAGGCCAGAGGAGCCAACCAATAAGCAGTATTCCTCTATGGTCTGTGCTTCACTCAGCTCCTGCCTTCAGGTTCTGGCTCTGAGTTCCAACCCTGAGTTCCCTCAGTGATGAACTGTGACCTGAGAGATGTGCGATTAAATAAACACTTTTCTTTCTACCTAAGCTGGTTTTGGTCAGTGTTTTTATTACAATAGAAAGTAACTAGGAAAGCACTTGAGGAATGACACCTGAAGCCTCCAAACACACATGCCCTCACACAGGTACACAAAGACACAGAAACAGGCATAGTACAGACAGAGAGGGGAGAGAGACATAGAGAGACAGAGGGGGAGGGAGGGAGGGAGAGAGGGAGGGAGGGGGAGAGGGAGATGGGGGGAGAGAGAGAGGAGACAGAGACAGAAATATAGACAGAGAAAGAACAGTTAAGTCACACATCCTGTGTGAAATCTTTCAGAAACATACAACTTGAAGTCATTATAAGAGGTACCCCATACATGAGGTTTAAGAAATTACATACTTCCAGTGGGTTAGCTGTTAGGTTAAAAGAACCACATAGTAGTTATCTCTGGAGAAATTAATCCCTTTACAACATAAATTCAGACTCTCCAAACTAAGACATGGTCATGTAAACTGATCATTTCCTGGCAGCAAAACTAAACTGCGTAGTTGCTAAATTACTGATTTTATCCTGAAGAAGTACCAAGGTAGGACAGAAATATAGTAAAAGACATTTAAAAACCACGTCTGCATTATAATGATCAATAGAATAAAAACATTTGTATATAAAACAAATCTGGGGGATGGAGAGATGGCTCAGTAGTTAAAAACACTTGCTGTTCTTCCAGAGGACCTGGTTTAGATTCCCAGCAGCCACATGGCAGTGAACAACTGTCCATAACTCCAGTTCCAGAGGATCCAACACCCTCTTCTGGCCTCTGCTGGCACTGCATGCACATGGTGCACTTACATACATGCAGGCAAAACACTCAGACACATAAAATAAGAGTAATAAATAAACTAAATAAAATAAAATGAATCTAAAGTTGCATGCCTAATACAACTTGGCTAAGATGCTAAAATCTGCTTAAATGTCATTTAGGATAAAAGCTAAAATATCAATATATCAAAAATATTTTAAAATCAATGTTACCTGATCAAGGTTTTTGAAAAGGAGAATATCTTTGCAAGCTTCCTGAAGTCTGCATCTCTGTTCATCAGTTTTAGGATGAATCACCTGTCAATTGAAATAAAGCCAAGAAAATTATTTTATTCCATGTAAAAGTAACCTACTTAAAAACTAATGTATTTCCGGCTGTGCTTGGCAGAGGCTGCCTTTAATCCCAGCACTCGGAAGGCAGAGGCAGGTGGATCTCTGTGAGTTCAAGGCCAGCCTGGTCTACATAGTGAGTTCCAGGACAGCTGGGGCAACAGGGAGACCCTGTCTCAAAAAGACCAAAAAAACAAAACAAAGCAAAAACTAATGCATTTCTTTCTCCTAAAAAGTGAGAAAAAGAGGCCGGGTGTGGTGGCACATGTCTTTAATCCCAGCACTCAGGAGGCAGAGGCAGGCGGATCTCTGTGAGTTTAAGAGGCCAGCCTGGTCTCCACAGTGAATCCAGAACAGCTAGGGCTACAGGGAGACCCTGTCTCAAAAAGACCAGGGGAAAAAAAAAGTGAGAAAAAGAAAGAACATGTTTTCTACAACTTTAATTCTACAAAAATCACTAAGTTGTATGCTGGATATAGAGAAGCAATGTGATACAGGACTGCCAAGCACTACCCTGAAGCCAGCTGTCCTTTGGGAGTTCTCGTCTGTACAGCAGAAGGTTATAAATGGTTCATTCAATAAATATTGAGCATCTACCTGGTGCCAGGTACTATCCAAGCTCTAGAGACACAATAGTGAACAACACATAGATAAAATTGTATGCCCTTACATTAAATAGGCCACAAAGTACATTAGAGACTGATAAGATGAAGGAGAAAAACTAGGCAAAGAAGGTAAGAAATGTGAGAGTATGTGTCTGTGTGGCCAGGTGAGGCCCCAGTGAGGAAGGGACAGTTGTGTTAAAATCTCAAGGAAGTGAGTACAGCCTGAGAAAGTGAGTCATGTGGTGATCTCTGTGGGAAGAGCAAGGCATTTTATGGTGACAGCAAATTTGAAAAGTAACCAAGAGAGGGATGCAACTGATGTAGAGAAAGGGAAGGATCAGAAGACCACGCTGGTAGGGGAGGGATTATCACAGATGACAATGTAGACCATAGAACAACTGGAACTTGCTCTAACAACTTGGGGGCAATTTGAGGGTACTGACTGAGGAATTGCTGACTAATGTTCAAAGGATTACATTGGCTGCTAAGTGAAAGCAGCATAGAGGGAGAAAAGAGTGGAAGCTGGGAAGCTACACTATCTCAGTGCCAGCTGGGGGTGGTTTGGACCACAGTGGTGTCCATGGAGGTTCTGAGATGCAGAGTTCTGTATACATTTTGAAGACAGAGCCCATTGATTTACTGAAAAATCAGATGCAGTTATGAAAAAGCATGAGAGGAGTTAAGGGTGACTTCAAAGTTCGAGGTCTGAGTAACTGAACAATGGGGTTACTATGATTTAAGCTGGGAAAAACTGTGGGTGGAAAAGAATATTCTGAAGAACATAATCAGGAGTTCATGTTGTCTACTGACAACTACATGGAAATGGTAAGGCAATAAAAGCTATATAAGCTAGAGTTAAAACATTAACAACAGGCCAGGCATGACAGCACGTGCCTTTAATCCCAGCACTTGGGAAGCAGAAGCTGGCAGGTCTCTGTGAGACTGAAGCCAGCCTGGTCTACATAGCAAGTTCCAGGCCCCCTAGAGCTACAGGGAGATCTTGTCACAAAAAAGACCAAAAGCAAACAACAAAACAAAACAAAATTAACAACAGGAGCTAGAGAGATAGCTCAGTGGTTAAGAGCACTGGTTTTTCTTGCAGAGGGCCAGGGTTCAGTCTGCAGCTCTCATAGGGCAACTAACAACCGTCTATATTTCCAGTTCAAGGTCATCTAACATCCTCTTCTGGCCTCTATGGACACTGCCTGCATGGTGCACTGATATACACACAAGCAAAACATTCATACACATTTTTTTTTAATTTCAAGGGGGCTGGGGAGATGGGTCAGTGGTTAAGAGCACTCTTGCAGAGGACCTGGGTTTGGTTCCCGGCACCCATATGGCAGCTAACAACTGTTTGAAACTCCATTACCAGGGGATTCAACACCCACCCTCTTCTGGCCTATAGAGGCACTGCACAACATAGGTGCACTTATATACATGCAAGCAATACACTCATACACATTTTTTAAATTCCAAAAACAAAATTAAAAAAAAATTATTAACAATATTATGCACAGTATGGTATTTACAAATTACTTGCAATAAGGATTAAATAATATATGTAGTGTCTCTAAAACAGTACCTTGAACTTAGTAGGTGCTTTAAAACTATTATTATAGACAATAAATGTTTGCTAAACTAAAAAAGATATAGTATAACCTAACACTGATTTTGTAATTGAGAGTCCTATTAAGCTATGTCTTAAGCATTACCATTACCAGAAATGTTATGTTACATTTGCAATATTTGAAGGGTTAGTCAGATGGCTTAGCAGATAAAGGCACTTGCTGTGCAAACCTGACAACCTGAGTTTGATCCCTGGATCCATGTATAGGTGGAAAGAGAGAACCAATTCCATAAATTTGCAATATGAAATTAGGGAAAGTTATGTTTTAAGTTTTTTTGGTCTTTTTTTGAGACAGGGTCTCCCTGTAGCCCCAGCTGTCCTGGAACTCACTATGTAGACCAGGCTGGCCTTGAAACTCACAGAGATCCACCTGCTTCTGCCTCCTGAATGCTGGGATTAAAGGCATGCGCCATCACGCCCAGCTTAAGTATATTTTTTAAATATTTTATTATTTTTATGTATATGAGTATATTGCCTGCATGTGTGTGAGTGCACCCATGTCATGCAATGTAGCAGAGGTCAGAAGAGGGCTTCAGATTCCCCTGGAACTGGAGTTAAGGATGGTTCATAGCTGCCACGCGGGATGCTGGAAATCAAACCCGGGTCCTCTGCAAGGGCAGTCAGTGCTCTTAACCACTGAGCCATCTCTCCAGCCCCCATGTTTTAAGTTTTAAAAGTCATCAAGAATTTTACAATATTCAGAATTAAATTTTTTTAAAAAATTCTACATGTCTCTTTTGATCACCCAATAGTAGCATTTTATCATTAGAATATTTCAGAATTCTTTATAGGTTACTCACATTGAGGAATACAAGACAGACCATGAAAGTATCTTCTGTTAACATCACTCTTTAAAATGATGATTGATACTTTCTTTCATAAAAGTAATTTATGTTGGGGCTGGAGAGGCAGTGGTTAAGAGCACTGACTGTTCTTGTAGAGGACTCAAGTTTGAGTCCCAGTACCCACGTGGCAGCTAACAACTATCTGTAACACCAGTTCCGGGGGTATCTGATGCCGCTTTCTGACCTCTGTGGGCACTGCACGACACATGTACACTTACATACATGTAGGCAATATACTCATACACATAAAATAAAAAATTTTAAAAAGTAATGTCAACTGATCAAAAGTTTTAAAATTCTTGGCATGATGGTTCATGCCTTTAATACTAGCACTTGGAAGGCAGAGGCAAGAGGAGCTCTGTGAGTTCAAGGCCAGCCTGATCTACATAGTGAGTTCAGGCCAGGGAGACCCTGTCTCAAAACGACCAAAATGAAAAAAAAAAGAAAAAGTTTTAAAACTAAGTTTTAGGGGCTGGAGAGATGATGGCTCAACAGTTAAGAGTACTTGCTGCTCTTAAAGAGGACCTGGGTTCTGTAATTGCAGTTCCAGGGGATCAGATGCCCCCTTCAGTCCTCTATGGGCACTGCACACACATACATGCAGGCAAAATACTCATACAAATAAAAATACAAATAAACAAAAAAATTTAAAACTGAGTTTAAAAAAAAAAAAGATCAACCAGGATCCCACCACAAGCATTGTTAACATCCAGGGTATATCCTTCCAGATATAATTCTCTATACAATATACAAACAAATGCATTATTTATTTTTATTTAGCAAAATAATCTAAAAAAGGAAAGTTATACAAACATACATTCTATGCCATTAAATCCTGTTCTAAATAGTCATTTTTCAATGGCTTTGGATTCTGTGACTTTGAGTATAACAAAATTTAGTCCTTGTGATAATCTTTAAAGTCACTTTTGGTTGTTTCCATTTTTTTCATTATTACAACAGTGCAACAGTCTCCATTTGTACACCCTTGGAAAGGATTGAACTGTTCAAAATGGAAGAATTCTCTTGAAGGTAACTGCTGAGTTAGCTGGCTTGACTTATCAAGGCTTCTGCAACAACAGCTATGTGCCTCTCCCCAAACTCTCAACCAGGACTGGTTTCAATCTGTTGCATAAAAAATGGTATCTCACGGGGCTGGAGAGATGGATCAGTGGTTAAGAACACTGATTGTTCTTGCAGAAGACCGGGGTTTGAATCCCAGCACCCACATGGCAGCTAACAACTGTCCATAACTCCTGTCCCAGGGGCTCTGACAGCCTCTTCTGACCTCCGCGGGCATTGCAGGACACAGGTGCACTTACCTACATGAAGGCAATACATGCATACACATAAAATAAAAAATAAAAAAAAATTTTTAAATGGTATCTCATAAAGATTTTTTAATTTTTTTTTTCATTAGTATACAAAGCACTGAGATCCCACTGCCTCTGTCTCACAAGTGCTTGGATTAAAGGTGTGCACCACCATGCCTGGCAGCAAATACAATTCAGTTTAACAGTTTTGCTTTATTTAGTTCTTACCTTTGGATCATTATCTTCTTCTTCCTCATCAGGGTTATAGGCCTCTGCACAGACTAAAATTGAGAGAAAAAAAATAAAGAGGAAAAAATGAAATTAAAAGGGGTGGTTTTAGGAAAAAATAGGAAGTGAATATAATTTGCTTTCCTTCGCTGTTTTCTAAAGTAGTAATGACTTTTTTCTGAGATGTTATTATCATTATGTAGCTCAGGCTGGTGTTGAATTTGAGATCCTCCTGCCTCTCTCTCCAATGCCTGCATCTCTTTGCCTGGCTCTAAAGTTTTAGAAATCTTTTTTAATTTGTTTATTTTTATTTTATGTGTATGAGTGTATTGCCTGCCATGTATGTGAGTGCACTTGTGTCATGCAATGCCGAGGAGGTCAGAAGAGGGCTTCGGATTCCCCTGGAACTGCAGTTAAGGACAGTTAATAGCTGCCATGTGGGTGCTGGGAATTGAACCCGGGTCCTCTGCAAGAGCAGTCAGTGCTCTTAACTGCTGAGCCACCTTTCCAGCTCCTAGAAATCTTTTTAAATTCTTCTTTCAATTAATAAATACATTAAGTGCCTACTAGTGTCAGATACTCTTTTAGGTGCTGAAAATGCAGCTCCCTAGAGATCGATATTCTTAAGTAGGAGAAAGATGATGAAAATATATTGCCTATGAAAACCTACTGTCGTGACAACCGCAAAAAAGAAAGTGCTATCTCTGCTGAATTACGAAGCAGGGTAAAAACCATCAAGTATGAAACACAAGGGATATGGAGATAATTATACAAAAAAATCCGTTAAAATAGTTCAAAATCATCATGTGTATGCAGAGCTTAAAAATAAGAACTTTTTTAAAAATATTCTTTTAATTTTTATTTTATGTGTACACATGTATTGCCTGCATGTAGGTAAGTGCACCCGTGTTGTGCAATGCCCGAGGAGGACAGAAGAGGCTGTTGGATCCCCTGGATCTGGAGTTTTGGACAGTTGTTAGCTGCCATGTGGGTGCTGGGATTCAAACCCGGGTCTTCTGCAAGAACAGCCAGTGTTTTTAACCACTGAGCCATCTCTCCAGCCCCAAGAATTAACTTTTTTTTTTTAAAACACGGGTCTCTGAGGCTGGAGAGATGATTCAGAGCTTAAGAGCACTGGCTGCTCTTGCAGAGGACCCAGGTTTGATTCCTATCACCCACATGGTGGCTAATAACCATCAGTAACTCTAGTTCCAGGGACTCTGACACCCTCTTCTGAACTCCACAGGCACTACACAACATGGGTGCTAAAGCAGAAAGATCATGATGAGATCAGGACTTGTGACCCAGTGTGGGCAGCATAGTGCCATCTCTCCAGCCCCAGTCCTGAGTTTGATCCCCAGAAACCATGTAAAATGCCAGACATGATGGCTCACACTTGTAAAAGCAGCACTGAAGAGATGACATTAGGAGGATTCCTGGAACTTGCTGGTGGCCTGCCTAGTTTAATTGGGGAGCCCCAGGTCCCAGTAAGAGACTCTATTTCAAAAACAAGATTCATGGCTTCTGGGGAATAACACCTGAAGCTGACCTGGCCTCCAAGCATGCACATACATATGCACACACCCAGGTCCCTAAAAAAAGAGAGAGTTCTAAGGAAAAAGAAGTAAGAATAGCCAATGAAGAAGAGTATAAATAGTCTTTCCATGAGAAGGGACCTCCTGAGAAAGAACTAGGAATAGTAAGAAAACATTATATATAACATTAATTTTTTCTAAACGGATAGCCAGAAACTAACGAAATTGTTTTCTTACCTCCTTGGTGATCCCAAATAGGAAAAAGGTTCACCACAAGAATGGATCAGAAAAGGGAGAAGACTTCTCTAAGGGAACTTTATTGGTAGTGTTGAGGATCAAATCCTTGGCATCAGGCTTAGCAGTCAAGCTCTGTCCCTGTACTATATTCTCCAACCCCTTCAAGGAAATTCTTTTAAGAAGTTGTGGCATTTAGGCCATTTTAATGTTTCATCTACTTTGAAAATTAAATTGATAAGGATAAAGGGAACTCTAAAACTAAATATAGGCTCGGAGTGGTGATGCACTCAGGAGGCAGAGAGGCAAGTGGATCTCCGAGTTTGAGAACAGCCTGATCTACATAGTGAATTCCAGGCCAGTCAGGGTGACAAAGGGAGAGGGAGACATTGTCCCAAAACAAAAACAAAAAAATACCCCAAACTTGGGGCTGGAGAGATGGCTCAGCGGTTAAGAACACTGGTTGTTCTTGTAGAAGAGTGGGTTCAAATCTCAGCACCCACATGGCAGCTTACAACTGTCTGTAACTCCAGTTCCAGGGGATCCAATGGCCTCTTCTGTCCTCCGTGGACATTCCATGACACAGGTGCACTTACCTACATGCAGGCATAACACTCATACACATAAAAAGAGATGGCTCAGCAGTTAAGAACACTGGCTGTTCTTGCAGAAGACCTGGGTTCGAATCCCAGCACCCACATGGTAGCTAACAACTTTCCGTAACTCCAGTCCCAGGGGATCCAACAGCCTCTTCTGATCTCTGTGGGCATTGCACAACATGGGTGCACTTACCTACGCATACACATAAAATAAAAATATTAAAAAAAATACCCCAAACTAAATACAAAGTGAAACAAACGAATCACATATCAACCTGGTAACAATCATAGAGAAAGAATTGTTTTAACTTCTAAATATAATCTATCAACCCTCCTTGGGCTATATTCCAACAGCAAAAAAAGAATTGCAAAACTCCTTTGAGTTTACTGCTAAAGTGAGTAAACAAATACATTTTTACTAGAAAGATGGACTGAAAGAAGGCCTTAAATTTGAAATAAGTATAAAATACTACTTTTAAACCTTGCCCGTTCATGTTACTGGCAAATATAAAATGAATTATCTAGTGAACTAAAAAAAAAAGTTATTACATTTGTTTTGGAGGGGTACATGTCAAGGCACATGGATGGAGGTAAGAGGACAACTTGTGGAAGTCAGTTCTCTCCTTCCACCATATGAATGCCAAAGATCAAGCACCTTTACCCACTAAGCCACCTTGCTAGCCCATGTAGTAGGGGAAAAAAAAAATTCTCTTTTTTTTTTTTTTTGGTCAGGAGTCAGGGTCTCCCCATAGGCCCATCTGGCCTGGAACTTGCTGTATAGACCAGGGTGCACTTGAACTAGAGCATTTTTTTTTAATGGATTTTGTATTCACTAACAAAATGTTTTGTCAAGAATGATCTGCATGCTCCAGGATGTTCCCAGTGTGGTGCTGTACACCTTTAGTCCTAGCACTCGGGAGAGAGAGGCATAGGCATACAGGTCTCTGTAAGTTTAAGGCCAGCCTGCTCTATACAGAGAATTCCAGGCAAGTCAAGGCGACATACTAAAGCTCAGTCATACTAAAGCTCATTAAGGAGCTTTAGTCATACTAAAGCTCATTAAGGAATGATTAAGATATGGTCATTGATGTTGCTTATGATGTAGTAATCCTATTCCCTCTCTACAATACAGCCCTTTCCAGTTGGGGAAAGTTTCCTTTTAGTAAGTCCCCACTTATCTGAAATGGCTGTGTGACCAAAAGTGATTTACTGCCATTTCCATCCTTCTGTATAATGGACCTAACTCTCTCCCTCTGAAGGCAGTCATTAAGCACTCAAGTAAACAAATGCCTGCCACACAGTAAAAAAAAACAGTAAATGAGAATTCTCTGAAATATTATTTCTGTTCTATTTGTTCTGGTTTTCAGGAATTCTAATTTTTAAATATTTTATTTATTACCTCTTTATTTTATGTGTATGAGCCTGCATGTGTATGAGCACCCATGTCATGCAATGCCCAAGGAGGTCAGAAGAGGACGTCAGATCCCCTGCAAACGAGTTACAGACAGCTGCTATGTGGGTGCTGGGAACTGAACCCTGGTCCTCTGCAAGAGCAGTCAGGGCTCTTAATTCCTGAGCCATCTCTCCACCCCCCTCTATATTTATTTTTGGTTCTATTCTTTATCAAGTCTTTTAACTGCTGTTCTTTTCTCGATGCTATCCTCAATCACAGTTTTGCTCTTAACTTTGCTTGGATTAAAGGTGTATTCCACCACACCCAGCTTCCACCTTGTTTTTTGAGACAAGGTCTCTCACTGACCTAGAGCTTACCAACCTGGAGCTCACCAAGTAGGCTAGTCTGACCAGCCAGCAAGCCCTAGGAATCTGCCTAGCTCTCAGTGCTGGGATTACAAGTGCACACAACCACACACAGCATAAATTCTGGGGATCAAACTCAGGGCCTCATGCTTTTTACTTATGCTATCTCTCCTGCCCTATTTACTTACTTTTAAAATGTTGGGGATGGAACCAAGAGGCCTTAAAGCCAAGTGCTTTAGCACTGAGTTCCATGCCCAGCCCCTTGACTAGATACCCGATATAAGTGGAATCATGCAGTATTTGTCTTTCTGTCACTGATTTATTTCACTTAGCATAATGTCCTTTTCCTTCCTTCTGTTTTTATGGGGTTTGTTGTTGTTTGGGGGGGGAATCTTTTTGAGACAAGGTCTCCCTGTAGCCCCAGTTGGCCTGGATTTGCTAACTCACAGAGATCCCCCTACTTCTACCTCCCAAGTGCTGGGATTAAAGGCGTGTGCCACCACACCCAGCTGTTGTTTTAAGACAGGGTCTCATACAGCCCAGACCAGCCTTGAACTCCTGATCCTCCTACCTCTACCTCTCAAATGTTAAGCTTATAAGCATGTACCAAAATGCCACTGGGCTTTTCCCTTTTCTTTAGAACTCTATACTCATCTCCCTCTGCACTCTTCCCAAGTGACCTATCTAATCTACTTCCTCCTGATCCCGAGTCTCAACTTACTTCCTGCTTTGCATAGGGGAGGGAAGATGTAACCTAGAACCTCAAACATGCTAAGCAAGTCTTCTACCACTGACCTATATTCCCACCCACCCCCTTTTTTTTTGTTTCTCATTCTTTTTTTTTTTTTGATTTGGTACTGGGGATTCAACTCAGGGCCTCATACATGCTAAGCATATACCTTATAAATGAGCTATACTTCCAGACCTAAAAGTATTTTAAGTATACAATTTAACTGTTGTCAAAATTGTTCTGTACATCAGGAAGCTTGTCTCAGTGCACAAGTTGCCTAGAGAAGTCTGTTCGAGTCCCCACAAAGCCTCAAGAGTCACAGTTTATGTCCTAAGATTCTCAACATCTATTGAAAGTGAAGATTAAAGCTTGTATGTAGCACAGCCCCCATTTAAGGAAATTGTGCTGTAGTTCTCCAACAGATAACAACTATCAGTAATGTGATATTATACAAAATGACAACAGATTATCCATAAATTGGGTATCTTGGACAGATATTTATTTCTTCACATTTCTGTAGGCTGGAAGTCCAAGATAAGGGTCCTAGCAACAGGCAGATCTCATTTCTCCTGAGGCCTCTTCCTTGCTTGTAGACAGTTTGCCTTTCCATTGTGTCCTTCTATGTTCTGTTTGCAGTGTATGTGCACTTTTGGTGTCTCTACCTTGTGTGTGTGGGGTGGGGGGTATGTGTATACATTACATTTATGTATGTATGTGCATGTTTTCAGTGTGCATATTCTATTTTTTTGTCTTTTTGAGACAGGGTCTTCCTATAGCCCCAGCTGGCCTGAACTCACAGAGATCCACCTGCCTCTGCCTCCCAAGTGCTGGGATTAAAGGCATGTGCCACCATACTCGGCAATGCTGGTTAGCTTTATCAATCACCACCTTATTTTTTTATTTTTGAGACTGGGTCTCTCACTGAACCTGGAGCTCACTGATTCAGCAAGGCTAGTTGGCCAGCAATCTCCAAGAATCACCTGTCTTCAGCCTTCCTAACATTGGGATTACAGATGTCTGCTGCCACACTTAAGCTTTTATGGAGTGCCAGAAATCCATCCAAACTCAGGTTCTCAGGCTTGATGTGCAAGCATGTTACCAACTTCCCAGCTCTCTTCCTTTTTTTTTCTTTTTTTAAATATTTTATTATCTTTATTTTATGTGTATGAGTGTATTGCCTGCACGTATGTGAGTGTACCCATGTCGTCCAATGCCTCGGAGGTCAGAAGAGGGCATCAGATTCCCCTGGAACCAGAGTCAATGACAGTTCGGAGCTGCCATGCAGGTGCTGGGAATCGAACCCCGGTCTTCTGTAAGAGCAGTCAGTGCTCTTAACCACTGGGCCATCCCTCCAGCCCTTCCATTTCTTTTTATGAAAATTATTTATGGGGGGCTGGCTCAGCAGTTAAGAACACTGGTTGTTCTTGCAGAAGACCTGGATTCGAATCCCAGCACATGGCAGCTAACAACTGTCATTAACTCCAGTCCCAGGGGATCCAACAACTTCTTCTGACCTCCGCGGGCATTACATGACATGGGTGCACTTACGTACATGCAGGCAATACATGCATTCACATAAAATAAAAATAAGATTTTTAAAAATTATTTTATGGGACTGGAGAGATTCCAGGGGAATCCAATCCAAAGCCATCTTCTGATCTCCGTGGGCAATGCACGGCACGTGTGCACTCACGTACATGCAGGCAGTGCACTCATACACATAAAAATAAAAATAAATAAAATAAAAAATTATTATTTTATTCATTTATTTTTATGTGTATGAATATAGTGCCTGCATGTATGGAAGTGCACCCGAGTTGTACAATGCCCACGGAGGTCAGAAGAGGGCCTTGGATCCCCTGGAACTAGAGTTATGAACAGCTGTTAGCTGCCATGTGGGTGCTGGGAATCGAACTCGGGTCCTCTGCAAGAGCAGCCAGTACTTAACCACTGAGCCATCTCTCCAGCCCCTCTCTTCCTTATAAAGACATCAGTCCTATTGCATTATTGCTGCAAATTATCTTTATTATGCGTATGAGTGTCTTGCCTGCATGTATGTAAGTACGCCCATGCATGTAATGCCTGTGGAAGCCAGAAGAGAGCACCCTGGAACTAGAGTTACAGCTGGTTATTAGCTACCATGTGGGTGCTAGGAATCAAACCCAGGTCCTTTTTAAGAGCAGCCAGTGCTCTTAACTGATGAATCATCTGTCCAGGACTTAGGGCTCAATTCTTATGACTTTAGCCCTAATAGCTTCTTTAAAAGGCCTATTTTCAAATACAATCGTATTGGGATGACTTCAACATATTAATTTGGTGTGGAGGCATAATTTAATCCATACCACTGTATTGCTAAATTACTTTATTAGTAATATATCAGCTTAAGATAACTATGGGAGTAAAAAGATAACAGCATACTATTTTAGTACATTGTAAGCACATAAGCCTTGTAAGGCAGTGTTTTTAAGTGAAGAACATCATCACTTAAAAATTAGTGCTACATGGCTGGGCGTGGTGGCACACGCCTTTAATCCCAGCACTCGGGAGGCAGAGGCAGGCGGATCTCTGTGATTTCAAGGCCAGCCTAGTCTACAATAGTGAGTTCCCGGTCAGCTGGGACTACAGGGAGGCCCTGTCTCAAAAAGACAAAAAAAAAAAAAAAAAAAAAAAAAAAAAAAAAAAAAAAAAAAAAAGTAATACAGTACCATATTCCCACTGACTAGTAACTATCACAATCATTACCAAAATCATTACCACTCAGAGACATGATATGATGCCAACATGCAGATTTCTGATTAATGTGCTTTGAAGCTTCAATGTATATATTTAATAAATGAAAGTCTTTTTATCATTGATATTTTGAAATCAATAGACTCATACTAACATTTCAAAGACAGTTAACATTAATTTAGAACTGTATCAAAAAAGCAGCATTTAGGCCAGGTGTGGTAGTGCATACTTACAATTCCAGTACCTGGAAAGCTGAAGGCAGGAGGATTGTCATGAGTTGGAAGACAGGGTAGGCTACACAGCAAGATCCTGTCTCAAAACCAAAAGAAAACAGTGCTTAAACAACCATCCCTAACTCCAGTTCCAGGGGATCCAATGCCCTCTTCTAAGCTCCTCAAGCCCTGCATGACACGGGCGCACTTACCTACATACAGGCAATACACTCATACACATAATAAAAATAAAATACAAAAAAAAGAATTAATGAATCATCTTCAATATATTTATCACTTGATGCTATTATTCTTGTAGAATACAGAACTTGAAGGCACTTCTTTTTAATTCCAGTGCTTATAACAAGAAAGGACAGCAGCTAAGAAGGTATCGGCATATGTTTAACAAAATGCTGACTGAGGTCTGAGCTTGAATTTATCTACTCACATTCTGTTTCAGCACCCCTGGCCCTTGAACTCTTCAGTGGTAAGAGAGGATGATAATATCAGAACCATGTAAAGAGTAAAACATGATCTCATAAGGCTATTAAGATAGTTCAGATACAGGGCTGGAGATACAGTCTAGCATGTTTGAGGCCCTGGGTTTAATTCCCAGTCATAAACTGGGTATGGTGGTGCATGTCCATAAACCTAGTACTCAGGAGGTAGAAGCAGGAGAATCAGAAATTTAAGGTCATCCTAGCTTCTTTTTTTTAATTTTTAAAAATTTATTTATTATTTTTATTTTATGTGTATGCGTGTATTGCCTGCAGGTAGGTAAGTGCACCCATGTCATGCAATGCCTCGGAGGTCAGAAGAGGGCTTCAGATTCCCCTGGAACTGGAGTTAAGGACAGTTTGTAGCCGCCATGTGGATGCTGGGATTAGGACCTGGGTCTTCTGCAAAAACAGCCAGTGTTCTTAACTGCTGAGCCATTTCTCCAGCTCCTTTTTTCAGTTTTTTTAAAAAAAATACTTTATTATTTTTATGTGTATTAGTGTATTGCCTGTATGTATGTGAGTGTATCTGTGTCATGCAATGCCACAGAGGTCAGAAGAGGGCTTCCGATTCCTCTGAACTGGAGTTAAGGATGGTTCGTAGCCGCCATGTGGGTGCTGGAAATCGAACCTGGGTCCTCTGCAAGAGCAGTCAGTGCTCTTAACCATTGAGCCATCTCTCCAGGCCCCATCCTAGTTTCATAGTGAGTTCAAAGCCAGTCTGGGCTACATGAGACTCTGTCTCTAGACAGACATATAGAGACACCACGTCCAGCACACTATCTCTATTTTTTTAAGATTTTATTTTTAATTTTGTGTGTATCTGTGTGTATGTGTAGATGAGTGCAGGTGCTCATAGAGGCCAGAAGCATCCAGATCCCCTGGAGCTGGCGTTTCAGGTGGTTGTGAGCCACCCAAACATGGGTCCTCTGCAAGAGTATTACATGCACTTAACCACTGAGCCACTTCTCCACTTCCTGTACACTATGTCTAAAGAGAGAAAAAAAAAAAGTCAAGGCAACATACAGTCTCTGAGCAACGAATGCCACTTTCAGCATTGTAACTGAGGAGATAATTCAAAAAGTCATATGAGAAAAGTTAATGGCAGCATAATTTAGGATATTAAAAATAGTAATATAAGCTGAGTATGGTGGCGCACGCCTTTAATCCCAGCACTCGGGAGGCAGAGGCAGGTGGATCTCTGTGAGTTCAAGGCCAGCCTGGTCTACATAGTGAGTTCCAGGACAGCCGGGGCTACAGGGAGACCCTGTCTCAAAAAGACCCCCCCCCCAAAAATCTGTATTTTAAAATAGAATTTTTAGTAGTATGCCATAAAAGAGAATACATACCTGATACTCGTCTAGTAAATCTGCCAGGAGCTGGAACTGAAACAAAAAACAAAAAAAGCAATATTTAATCATTATTATGTTACATACCCCCATTTTTATCCTTTCTTTTACAAAAACCTCTGATAACAGAACTAAGCACCTCAAAATCCAGTAGTAGGTCAGTTCATACTTGTGCGGGATAGCTTTAGTTGTCAAATTGACACACCTGGGTAGAGGAAGGCTCAATTGGGGAATTGCCTCCTTTGGGCTGGCCTGTGGCCATGTCTGTGGGATATTTTCTGGATTGTTGAGTGATGTGGGAAGGCCCAGCACTCTGTAGGCAGTGCCACCCCTGGGCAGGTTGTTCTGTATTGTATAAGAAAGCAGGCTGAGACCAGGCGGTAGAACATGCCATTGATCCCAGCACTTAGGAGGCAGAGGCAGGTGGATCTCTGTGAGTTCAAGGCCAGCCTGGTCTACATAGCGAGTTCCAGGCCAGCCGGGGATACAGGGAGATCCTATCTCACAGAGACCAAAAAAAAAAAAAAGACACTATAGAAAGGATTTCTCTGGGATAAAAAAAAAAGCTCCCTATAACTTCAATGTACTTAAGGTGGTAATTGTACTTCTGTTACATCCATGTTCTGTCCACTTTGTATCAATCCAAATGAAGTCTTCAAATTTACTAGTAATATGAAGTAGTGAAACTTGATATTCTTTTAAAAATAATCTCTAGGGGCTGAAGAGATGGCTCAGAAGAGCACTAGTTACTCTTGTAGAGGACCCAGGTTCAATTCTCAGCACCCACATGGCAGCTAACAACATCCATAACTCCAGTTCCAGGGTATCTGACCCTCTCTCTTCTGACCTGTTGGCACTACATAACATGGGTACACTTACACCATGCAGGCAACACGCTCATACACATAAAATAAAAATAATAAAAAATAAAATAAAACAATCTCTAGCCAGGCATGGTGGCACATGACTTTAATCCTAGCATTTGGGAGGCAGAGGCAAATGAATCACTGTGAGCTACAAGCCAGCCCAAGGAGGTCATAAGAAGGTGTTGAATATCCTGGAAGTGGAGTTATGGATGATTGTTAGCTGCCACTTGGATGCTGGGAACTGAACCTGGGAACTCTGTAAGAGCAGTCAGTACTCTTACCCAATGAGCCATCTAACCAGCCCTTGTAGAAACTTTGTGTTTGTTTGTTTGTTTGTTTAAAGACAGGGACTCCCTATAACCCTAGCTGGCCTAGAACTTTCTATGTAGGCCAAGCTGGCCTTGATCTCACAGAAATCTACCTGCCTCTGCCTTCTGAGTGCTGGGATTAAAGGTATGTGCTACCTCACCCAGCTAGAAACTTTTAAAAATATGTGTATGAACATTTTTGTGTATGTGTGCACATGTGTACATATGGAGGCCATAAGCCAATATTTGGCCTCTTTCTCAATAACTCTCCATCTTTTTGTTGTTGTTGTTGTTATTTTTGAGACTGTCTCCCTGTAGCCCCAGCTGGCCTGGAACTCGTTATGTAGAACAGGCTGGCCTTGAATTTACAGAGATCTGCCTGTCTGCCTCCCAAGTGCTGGGATTACAGGTATGTGCTACCATGCAAGGCCACCACCTTATTTTTTCAGGTAGAGTTTCTCACTAAACCTAGAGCTCACTGGATTTGGCTAAACTGACTGGAAAGCAAGTCCTAGAGATCTTCCTGTCTCCTCTTCCCCAGCACTGGGATTATAGTTAGGTGTTCTGCATCCTGCTTTTTACATGGGTACTGGGGATCCAAATTCATGTTTCTAAAGCAAGCACTTTACTGTCTAAGCCATCTCTTTACTTCCCTAAAGATTTTAATAATTATTTTCATAGGACCTGGGCCTGGCCCAGACTGAGCTGATGTACTTGGTCTCATAAGCCATGATTGAGAACTTTAGTGCACAATACATGTCCCTGCACTTCAGGATAGAAAACATCTGGGCTAGCACTCTATTTGTTTCATTTCCAATTGCTTTGATAAAATATCCCAACAAAGGCAACTTTATAGCTTACAATTCCAGGTTATAGCCCACCATTGATGGGAAATCAAGGCAGGAACTTGAAGCTATTTCCTCTTGCTTTCCCTACAAGTCCTATCTCTTCCTACTTGAGGAAGTCTTTTTTCTCCTTGCGAGTATGAGAGGTAGTAAGTCAGTACTGCTATGGAAGCAGATTTCAGGAAAAAGATTACCACTAAACACATTGTAATATTTAATCTGCACCTTTCTGTCCATTTTTTTCTGTCTTTTTTTTTTTTTTAAGGCGTAATCTGTCCTCTCTCGAGGATCGCTAGTATTCACATGCAAGGGCATTTATTTTAATATATCTAATCCTATGGGCAGCTACCTCTTAGGCACGCAGTCTTGGATATATTTTCCAAATGAGGAAACTGAAGGATATAGCAAAATAAAGGAATGAACTCAAGTCTGCCTGAATTCAAAACCAAAGTTTCTTCCACTCTCCTACTGCTACACTTTGCATTTCATTTGAAAAAAAAAATTTTTAAACCAACAAAAAGGAGAATCTGCTAATTTAAAATGTTCTGGGTTGATCTGATTTATGAAAAGTATATGTATTGTAAATATTTAGGTAAATCTCCAATAGTAATATTTTAGTATTCCTCCTTCATAAATAATAAGACAAAATACTTGAACTTTGGCAGAAAAAGTCACAGATCCACAGCTATTGTTACTTAATTTGTAGTTTTTTATTTTTTACTTGTGTCATTTTTTTACTTTTTTTGTTAATTATTTATTTAATAACCACATACTTAGAAGAAGCATTTCATTACAACAGCATTGATATATTTAATAACAATTTTCTGAGCTTAGATGCATCTTTTTCAGAATTGGCTGTAAATTTTTAGGTTTACAATTGAATTATTACAGTTATACAATATGGTACTCAGTATAATCCCTACAAGACATAAAGTTAAATGAAGTTTTAACCTTTAAAAAAGATCTCCATTTCATTATTAAAATAGTTTCATACAGAAAAATTCATTTTCAATGCAATAGACATTAAGATTTTTGCACATGTGTTTCTTCTACTCTCTATATATCTGATTATTACTAGTGATAGTCAGTTATTTTCTGAGCTCCTTGGCATCTGAGCATGGATATAAAGTCATCAGGAAGATTTCAATGGTAATATTTTTCACATCTACTAATTATTTTTTTTTAATTTTTAATAACTACATGATTAGAAGAAGCATTTCACTACAGATTTAATATATTCAGTAACACACTCCCAGAGCAACAGTACATATCTTTCACAAGTGGATGCAAGTTTCTAGGTTCACAGTTGAGTTAATACAGTTATACAATATTGAACTCAGTATAAGCCCTGTAAGACATAAAATTGAATGAGTTTTTTAACCTTTAAAAAAGATCTCCATTTCATTTTAGAATATATTGTTCCTTGCAGAAAGACTCATTGTTTTTGCTACTAACACTGAGATGTTGGCGCATGCCATCTCTAATCTGTATGTATCTGATTATTACTAGTCATAATCAGTTGCACTTGGATCCATGGCACCTGTGTATGTCTATGAAGTCTGTGTTACTTCACTTAGTATAACAGTTTCTAGTTCCATCCATTTACTAGCAAATTTCATGATTTCATCTTTCTTTACTGCTGAGTAAAACTCCATCGTATAAATGAACCACATTTTCATTATCCACTCATCAATTGAGGGACACCTAGGTTGCTTCCATCTCTTAGCTATTGTGAAAAGAGCAGCAACAAACATGGATGTACAAGTGTCTCTGCAATAGGATGAGTTCTTTGGGCATATGCCAAGGAGTGGCATAACTGGGTCAAATGGTAGGTTCATTTATAGTTTTTTAAGAGTTCTCCACACTGCTTTCTGTAGGGGTTGAACAAGTTTGCAGTCCCACCAGCAGTGCCTGAGTGTTCCTCTTTCCCCACATCCTCTCCAACTTTTGGTATCATTTGTACTCTTGATCTTAGCCAGTCTGACTGGGGTAAGGTGAAATCTTAAAGTGGTTTTAATTTGCATTTCCCTAATTATTAGTGATGTTGAACATCTTTTAAGATGCTTCATAGCCATCTTTACTTCTTCTTTTGAGAACTCTCTATTCAGCTCCTTAGCCCATCTTTTAATTGGGTTACTAGAGTCTTGATTCTGTTTTTTGAGTTCGTTATATAGTCTGGATATTAAACCTCTGTCAGATGTGTTGCTGGTGAAGATTTTCTCCCATTCTGTGGGTTTTCTGTTAGCTTCCCTGGTTGCCTCCTTTGATGTACAGAAGCTTTTTAGTTTAATGAGGTCCCATTTGCTAATTCTTGCCCTTGTTTCCTGAGCAATTAATGCCTGGTTTAGAAAATCCTTTCCTATACCTATATTTTGGAGGTTTTCCCACTGTTTTCTTCTAACAGTTTCAGAGTTTCAAGCTTTACAAC